CCGTTTCTCCTACAAAATTAAAATGCAAGATTTAATTTGATGAGCTGTAGTTACATTTGGTGTTAGTTTGATCCTTAATCAGGGTAATGAAAATACATTCTAAATGGAAAGCATTTAGTGATATTGGGTTCAAATGTTGTTGAACCAAAGTTTAGTTATTTAGGTTTTAGTAACAATTTACCAAAGGTAATTGGCTTTTATGAATTCTATTAAGATACATACTTCTTTGAAAGTGTAAGTATTAAGTCTGAGAATGAAACTTAGATGGAGGACCTAGACTTACCAGAAGCAGAGCAGAGGTGGTAAGTGGAGGCTTCTGCTTTCTGTCCTGGGTTTGAATTCCAGTCCCAGCATTTCCTGAAATCACACTTCACTTTGCATCATTGTAAACAATACTTGAGATAAACAGTTTATAAAGAGGAAAGGTTTCAGACAGTGGTCACCCGGCCCTGTGCCTTTGGGTTTGTGGCAGCATAATGCATCATGGCAGGAGTGAATGGCAGAGCAGGCCTGATCTCCTCAGGGCACCAGAAAGAAAAGAGAGAGAGAGAGAGGTGATGGTGGAGAGGGAGAGGGGTAGGAACCCCCAAATCCCCTTCAAGGTATACCCCTAATGATTTAATTTTTTTTTTTCACTAGGTCTCACCTCCTAAAGGTTACACCACCTCCCAATAGTACCATAGGTTAGTGACCAAGATTTTAACATGTGGGTTTTTAGGAGATATTTAAAATCCAACTTATGGCACAAGGGTAGTGAACTTTTCAGTTCCCTATGAGAAGGCATGCATGTACTGAAGGCCTTCCTGAAACCTATACCCCTCTATGACTCTGGGCTTCTCTTCTTTGAATGAAAATCTTTTGGGCAATGGAAAGAGGGAAAATAAATCAAGAGAAAAGAAAGGATCATTTGTTGGGCATTATTAATAATTTAAAAAGCACTTAAAAAGAAAGCAAATGGGAGGGGGTCCAGCAAACGAATAGAAGCTAGCAGCTGCTCCCTCTCACTCCTCATATAGACATTTCTTAGAACAGGAAAAAAAAATCATGCTATATTTCTATCATAGTACATATTGATTCCAAGTATATGAAACATAACATTTTTAGTGTTTGATTATGTGAGAATTAAATGGCTTCCTGAGGAGAAAAAAATGCTGAATTTCACATAACTTATGTCCCTAATGGCATCAGATGGTTATACAGACAGGCCAGTTTTTAATGTTCCATCCACAAGCTCTGCAGTGGATTTGGGGTTTGGTTTCTCAGTTTGTCATATCTGCATGATCTTGGATGAGTTGCTTCATCTCAGTAATGGAGGTGGCATCTCTGCCCCACCTGTCATTGCTGATGGGCCCTGAGCTGGCAAAATAAAATTAAGTGCATAGGGTTGATACCCCAAAGTGGAAAATACAGCACACAGAAATGTATGCTGTGTGCAGGTCTGTACCCTGAGAGATATTAGTCTGAGATTTAAACGAAAGGAATGACTAGAAACCAAACATGAAAATATGTCAAGTTGTTGACAAGAACATGAGATAAAGATCAGGACCCAGAGAAAGAGCCAGTAATAGAATATACCCATGCTGATTGAATTTTACAGGTAGATCTTTGATGGCCTGTAGTATATTTTATTGTAACCAAGCTCATGAAGACACTCTGTCACAGCTTCACATTACTATTACTAAGTACCTGTAATAATTAGCTTATAAAAAAGGTTTATTTTGACCCATGGTTCCAGAGTTTCCAAAGATCAGGCAGCCCTGTTATTTGGGGTCTTTGGTAAGTGTAGAACATCATGGTGGGAGCACATGGTAGGACTAAGTGCTTACAGGATGAGCCAGAAAGCAAAGAGAGACTGAGATYACCAGTATGGTTCCTCAATTATTTTAAAAAGCACACCCTTCATGACGTAAGGATCTCTCACTAGGCCCCACATCCTAAATGTTCCACCACCTCTTAATAGCGCCACTCTGGGGACCAGCCCTTATGACCATTTTGGGGTCCCTCATCCAGATCATAGGAGGCCCTTATGCCATTGCCTTTGTCTCAGCATTGTTCTGAGATCCAAACAGAGCTTTCTCTAAACTCGTCAGAGATATCAGTCAGGGATCTGGTAGAACATATAAGTTGTGTTCCTTTAACATATTGTTTTCAAAAGTCATCTTTTATTTCTGGTATCCTTTCTTAAGTCAGCTTGAGTCAGTATGGTGTTTTGAAAATATCATGGACTTGGGAGTAAAAAATAATTCTGCAACTAGAATCAGTGCTTTATTACTTTTTATTTTGCTTGATTTGACGTATTTAGCTTCTTTGAGACCCTCATTTTCTCATCTTTCAGTAAAACAAGGATAACTATCTCTATATAGTATGGCCAAGTAGTAATAAAAAGAGTAAACACAACAATGATGTGAATAATGACATTATGCCTTTCTGCTAAGATTTACTGTTGGCAAATACTTTGACCTCTGTCAAAGTGATCTTCAGAGACTCTTGGGAGAATAGTGAGGCACCTACCTCTGAGAGCCTACTCTATAATTTGTAGTACCCTGAAAGCCAGCCTAATGGAAAGGTGATACAGAAGAAGCAAGAGGGTGTTCAGTTGCCTGCTTTCACAGAGTCAGCAACTGAGAGGTATCTGAGAGCTTTTGCAGAGTATTTCACCCTGGGTTTTCAAACTGAGCTTTAAAGAGATCAGGGAATATAGCCCGGACAAGAAGATGGGGGTTTCAGTGCCACCCTCAACTTCAATCACCAGAGCTACATTTTCTTTCTTTCTTTTTTTTTTTTTTGTATTATAGGTTGGGTTTCCATGTTAGGATTTCAATCAAAGAAAGATCTAGTTGAACACTTTCATTTTATAAATGGCAAAACTGAGGGCCATGGTGTGACTTATCCTAAAGTAATAAACCTATAAACCTTTACAGGTTGGAAAAAAAAACATGGGGAGGGAAACTAAAAGTTCAAAGCAAAAAAAGTTGACTCACAGGTTCATTGACTCACAGATATGGTAGATTTCCTCTGCCTACTCTCTCCTGACTGAATACATTGAGATTTAATCCTTAGTTAACTTACCTGAACATGGCGTTTTTGTAAACTACTGAAGGAGCTTATTTATTACAGAATATTTTAAAAGATGTGCTACATATAATTCAATATCTGAGCACAGAGATACCATCAAGATAAAACTCTCTCTCTACTCAATACAGACCTAATTCAAATTGAATAAGTGACTCAAATTTATGAGAAGGCCATAGATAACGTCAAACAAGTGTGGTCATCTTGCACTCAGAAATTACTCAAAAGTTTGGGGCGATACAGGAAAGTTTTATACAAAAGTTGGAGTTTTTTTTTTTTCCTGGTTCCCAAAGAATTGATAAAATTGAAAAAGGAGGCAAGAAAACAAGACATTCCAAATGTGGAATATCTTCTGTAAAGCCATAGCCCTAGGAAATCTCATGGATCCTGCAGAATGAATGATAGCAAAATCAGCTTACCTAGAGCAAAAGGTTTATGAAAAGAAAGTGCATGAGGCCTTGAATCAGTAAGCATGAACTAATGGATCATCAGGTTGACAGTCAAGGCCACTCATATGATTGAAGAGGGAAAGGTGATCTAGTAGCCAACTCCATGATTCAGAGTTGTGGTCCAGGGACAATCTTTCTCTGTCCTCTCATGCCAGCTACATCAGTCATCTCTTCCCCAACCATATGGAACTTTCTGATTAAACAATGCTCAAGACATCAATTGTAACTCCTGTTTCTTGCCACCACTGTCTATACTACTCCCAATAAACTGAGAAATAGATAATATAGGAGGTAGATTTTGAGAAGGAATATGATATCCTCGAAGATAGAATTATTGCCGGATGTATTTGATCTAGAATAATCCACAGACAAGTGCAAGCAGTAGGGGTAGGAGTCTATGTTGGGACATTGCTTTAGTTACTTTTTGAAATGTATTCTCTATGTATTTTTTAATTTACTTTTAAGACAACTCCATGAAATTGATACTACTATCACAATTTTATAAACATGGAAACTAAGGTACAGTAAGATTTAAATATATTTCCTACTATCAATTTACTCATGAGTAATAGCTAGAATATAAACCTAAATCTTTGTAATATTAAAGCTTATCCATTTTTTAATTCTTTATTTTTAAGCCAAAGGCATATGGTTGAGTTAATCATTCTCCTCAGTTCAAAATACATTATTCTCTTTAATCTGTGCAAAACCCTTTTCTTATTTTATATTTATTTATTAAAGGATACCTTTAAAAAAATCTCTATGCCTTGTTCCCATTACCATCTTTCTATAAGCAACAATTTCAGTGTGTTTGAAGTACATTTATTTTTTATGTGTTTTGAAAAATTATTGTTATTTTGTGTGCATATATTTTTAATTTATGGAAAAGATATTAATTATGAATCTTCTTACTTTTTTTTCTCTAAAGACTGTATTTTCTTAAAGACTCATCCATATTTCTGTGGATGATTCTAATTCATTGCTTCTAACTCCAACTTCTGCCCTTTCAATTTTATACAATTAATTCTGTAAAGCAAGGGACAGGCTTGGGAGACATCATTTATAAATATTAATTAAGCAATTACCATATTAAAAGCAACTGAGTCAACAAAACATTTGTTGGGCACTTACTACCAGACATGTTTAATGCTGGGAATACTGAAATAAGTAAGGTTCAAAATACAACCATAAGAGTCTCCCAGACCAATGGTACACCCAATCATGCAAATTAATAATTATAATTTAGTGATTTATGTGCAATAATAGATACGAGCTTAGGCAAGAGTTCCAGTRTAGAGCAGGGGTTGATGGTTTCTGCTGCGGTGGTGAGCAAGATTAGTGAAACGTAGAACAAAACAATGACCTTTTCAGGGTTTCGAAGAATGAATAGGAGGAATATTTTGAGTGGCTGGATGAGGAAAGAGTATTCTAGGAAACAGCACTTTTGACAAGAATTGTTGCATCCTCTGTCCTCCCCAGGGACACAGCTGAAGGCCATCTCCACCTACACTCTCTTAAAACAATAGCATTGTTTACCTACCTGTTTCCTGAGACATGGATGGTTTTGTAAGTTTGAACACCTGTTACCTGACACAAAGAAAACTCCAGTCGATGGCCCAGCAACCACCCACATGTGCAGTCTGAAATAAACAGGTGAGTTAGCCAGTTTATTGTCCCCCTTGAGAGCCTCATCCAAGAGACCCTGCATGTTGCCAGGTGGTCCCAGACAGTGGATCTGGTAGGACTTGATGCCTGATGACCAGTTGCATAATGATGAATAAATACAGAAGTTGATCTTAAGAAGAGTGAAGGAACAAAGCCTCTTCTGGGTAAAGAGAGAGATACCACCTTGCTTGCCACTTTTCTGTTCTCGGTTTTAATTCTATGAGCTGAACTTTGCTTCTTACCTGGAGGTGTGTGGAGGCCTCTCTGAACCTTGACAATCAATATCCCTCTATTATGAACTACTCTGAGTCTCTACTGCTTATTACCTAATGATGTTTGAATAAAGCATCTATTCCAAGGCATACAGACCTGAGAGACTCTGGTCTGTTTACAGAGCTATAATTTATTTGCTATTGATAAGTATAAAATAGGTGGATAGGGTGGAGGAAAAGTCTGAAGGAATAATTGACAAGAGTTGGTGACTGATTAGATATGAGACATAAAAATAACTAAATCTGGAGTTCCAAGCTAGCAAGTTCTGAAATAATAATGATACCAGGAAAATGAAAAAAAAAAAGAGGAAAAGATAAGTGAGAAGACTGGGAAATGTAAACACGAAATGGTATGTTGCAGAATGATGAGCGCAGGTGCCTGCAATAATGTTAGGGAAAAAAAAGAGAGGATTCAATGAAGAAAAGCCAAGAATGAGACCATAAGTGGTCCAAGACAGAGGTGGTGAATTTTTTTTTTTTTTACTTTTTTTTCCTTTTTTTTTGTTTGCAGTAGGATCAAACCAGTGACTGGGCATGCTAAGGAAACACCCTACGATTGAGCTGCACTCCCAGCCTAAAAAGTTTTTTTAAAAAAGAAATTAATAATAGTCTAAAATACAGCCAAGGCAACATGTAAATGAGACATACAGAAAGGCAGGACACATATGCAACAGTCTTACCAATCCTTCCATTTTAGAAAATTTTTCCGTGTCCTTAATATGCCTCCCTAGATTTGTCTAGGATAACATGGATGTTATCTTGGATAGTAAAATCCTGGTCCATGGGAATCTGCTCTGTTGAAATTTGCTTTTTTTAATACTCAATAGAATGCCATATGTACTCACCAAATATATTTTGATTAATAAGATGAAGAAGGTTCCTGTGCTAAAGTTATCTTAATAGACTGTTAAAATTAGAAGGTGCTAATCTTGGCATCTGTGACTATTGGGAGAAACATTTGAAGACTCAATGTTTAGAAATGACATATAATGGAGCCTGTTCTCGGTGCATCCTTCAAGTAGTCACRGCTAATTTGGACGTGGAATTTTGACGGTATTTAAATTTGGGGATTTCCCATGTGCAGCATCATTTTGCAATCATGTGCTCAGCTAAAAATGTTCCTTTTCTAGGAACGCTCAGGCTAGTGACGCGTTGTTAGTTTGGAAAGAGAATAAAGGACAAATGTTGCCATCCTTCCTGTGCTGCAGACTTAACCAACTAATTAAATCCACTTTGCTTTCTGGGCTTATGGTGACTTTGTGTAATTCAGCCTGGAATCTTGTCACATCCAGAAGATCTGTCGTTGTCCAGGTTACCATGGCAGCTAAATTTTTTCCTTTTTGTGAAATTATCCCCAGCCCTTGGCTTCAGTTAACCACATAAGCCGGTGTATTATTAGCTTAATGAAGGGACCCTTTTTGCAGGCGTCACCCAATGCTGTCAGGTAGCTGTCCAACTAGCATGTTGTTGCTGTGTTTAGTATCTTATTCTCAGCATCCATCTGGAGCTCTCTTACAAAGCTGGTAGGTTGTGTGCCAGAGAACATCTTGCTGCCTCCGAAGAAAATCCATCTCCTTTTTCCTTGAATATGAACCATGACATCACATTGTCCTCCCCAGCCCATCCTGAGCTCTGCACTACAAGGGGTGGCTTTATCKCCATCTAAGCATGCATAGCTATTGTCTGTGCAATGATTCATTTTTCACGTCTGTAGTTTTAATGCAACATTCTCTGGGATCAGTTTCAAACTCTAATGATTAACACATGTTTATTCATTCCAAAAGGAGCTGTGGCTGCAGTCCTTGCTGCACACATGTTAGTGTGGTTGTTTCCTTGTTATTATTTTTCTTCTCTAGGTTGGTTCTTCACATGGATCAGAGAAAGCAACCCTCAATTAACTCCTGAGATCTTTGTCCTCTGTCTTTAAGACACTGCTCTGCTCTTGCCATTTACCCGTGAGGTGAGTTCTCAGATGGCTGTCTGGATGCCAGGCGATAGTCATTGGAAGTTCTGCTTTGTGCCCTGCATTAAGCTTCACTCCGTTATGTATGCTCCCAGTACATAATGACAGCCAACTAATGGCAAATTTACCCTTAGAGACTCAAGGCAATAATGCACACCAGAAAAAATACTGATGGGGAATAAAGCAATCTTTGATGGAATCTGAAATATGCYAGGTGAACATTTAATGACACAAAGGCAGAAACCCATGAAGAGGTTAGGAAAATTAGGGACATATTTTTTGTTTGCTAAAAAGAGTCAGCACAGGGTTGTCATTATCAGCAACTGCAGCTGGTGTTCATACTTCCCTGGGAGGCATCCCAGATCGTCATGGTCAGGTTCCTGGGCAGCGATGGTAAGCTACTTACCCRTACCCTCAGAATGACAGCACCATCAGCTCTCCGCAGTGACCCAGGGAAAGAACTACATTAACCAATATGCAAAAGACACAGATAATTTTGAGCCAATTATGATTTACTGAGGGATTTCTTTTGGTTAAATGCTTTTTAAAATCCTTTCTGAACCCCATCCTGAGCAGAATTCTCTGAGCCATTGAAGTTTCTACAAATGCATCTATACAGTGGAGGTTAAAGAGCCACTGTGAAATTTATTTCACCCCTGAATTTACAACTTTGTTAAGCAAAATGATATAAAACCCATAAAACTAAAGAGGCTAAAAATAAAAAGAGGGAAAACCAATAACGAACAAGCAATTGCAGCCAACTCTCTTCCCCTGCTCAAGATGAAATGAAGGAAGTAAGCACAGCACATGATAACTGACTGTATTTTCTCAGCTTCAATAGACTATACATGATCACAGAAAATGGCTATTTTTTCCCCCTGACCTAAACATTGCATTCCTGTCACTTATGTCTTCCAAACCTGCAAGTCTCTTTGATGGGACCATCAGTGTTAAGTCTTAAAGGGAGAAGTACACAGTRATCACAATTTTTTTGTACATAGTCCCTAACATACTGGGAATGCAGAGTAAATGCCAAGCTATAATCATTTAAATGTTTTCTTTTGCTTATTCCATTTCTCGTGTTCTGTTTTTGAATAAAGACCCATGGTACCCTTCATCTTCACATTGAATCATGCAGTGCCAGGAAGTCCCAGACCTCGGTTCAAGCACAGGCATTAGTAGGTTTTCTGCCAGGGTRGATTCATTCTTTCTATACTTTCTCGATGGTCTATAAATAGCATCACTTGTGAGGATTGTTGAAATAATTTGTTGCTATAATTATAGTGACATTTCTAGCATGTTATAATCATACAAAATGGCAAAAATAGAAGGATGCTATTTTGGTGGTTGTTTTTTTTTTTTTCCAATTCAGTTTGTGTTTCATGGAATATAAGAAAAGATTTGGAATGCTGCTTGTTTAGAGAAAGAGCTGCATTATAATAGGAGAGAATAATGACACACGAGAATCAAGAGTACTTCCTTAAGAAGAAAGTCAGCTGGATACTTTGAAATTGACATGATTTTAGCAAAAAGAAGAAAAGAAAAGGAAAAAGAATAAAATCCCTGAAGTACAATTCCATACATACAAGAAAAGTGAAGACATGTGATGATATTATTCCAGCTGAGGGCCTCAGCCAAACCAAAGTCATTTTAATTTTTCATAGGCTTTTACATTTTTGATGACAGCATCTTAGTTGAGGAGTCACAAATGTCTGAAAAAGAAATATCTAGGATGGTTGTACTGTGAGAGTCTTTGAAAAAGACAGTGTATTTGGAGTTGAAAAAGTAACTGCTTTGTTTTCAAATGTGCAGCCATTGCCAATTAAACAATAAAGATCGAGTAATAAAATGCTGTAAGTTGGTGAACCTCACACAGTTTGAGGGCTGTGCCAGAGTTATGGGTGCTTCCAAACCATTTCTCAGGACCCTAAAAAGGGCATACTGTGTCCACACAAGCTATGTTTATTAATGGAATTATAAAGTGTCAACGTATGTTTTGGATGCAATCCCTCTTTGTTCTTAGTGCCCAACGCTGGGAACTACTCTTTTGAGTAGGTCAATGACACCAAACGGCCAAAAGGAATSGGCACCATTTAGCTTTCTTAGTTCTGATCAGAGTTAAAACTTTATGCTTCTTTGTGTGACTTTTCTGACAAACGTCTATTCACTCCCAAAGGGTGGAACTCATGTCCGGACTGAATGCTGCCATATTCTTGGCCTCTTTCCAGGAACCTGATAAGTGGCAAGCTAAGAGATAGTAGGTTCACATGAATTTAATAAATAAGTGATGAAACAGGAAGACTTCAATTAATTCTGTTTTCGAAATTTATAAGATTGTTAAGCTTGGACCAGCATTCTTCATCTTGGAGCCTCAAATTCTTTATTTGCAATATGGTTGGTTTGGTCTGGAAGCTGTCCAAGGTCCTCAGCCTTAAATTCCATAAACGAAGATATATTAGATGCCCCAGGGCTCTCACATCACCTCTTTCCTGGGAACTGTCTGCTCAGCTCTCAATTCCATCTGACATTGCAACTTTCCCTGTACCCTAGCCATTTAGGCCAGAGGCGAATTCTGGAATCTAGCTGGAATGAGCACATTGCTTCTTCCAGGTATTTGGTGTTAGGCTTGAGGACCTGACAATTATAATCTGCTTATGGTTGGATCATAACCTGTGGACTTGGGAACCATGGGTTGACTGCCCCCTGCCCAGTGTGGACAGCTAGAGAGAGGCCATCAGAATGCAG